CTATAGATACCCATAGATAGATACCTATAGATGATCCATACCGCCCGCAGATGCCACCCAGCCGTAGGCACCGGATTTTTTGGAGCCGATTTTTCCCCTCTCCGCCGTCCTGGGGTGGTCGATCCCCTCTCCCAGAGTTTGTAACTCTCAGATTCTCCCCAGCCCCCTCCTCCAGACCCTTCCCGGCTGAAGGAATAAATAGAAGAATTAACGTAGTACTAATAAAAACTCGAAATAATCCCAAATGCCCAATAAGCAGCAGCCGCCCCCGTTTATCCATTTTGCTCTGCTAAAATCACATTTCCCTGGCTGTTTTTTTCCCCTATTTTTAACCACTTTTCTTCGTGGTTGCTTTAAAAATTCAACTTTTAGCACAGATAAAAATTTAAATTCAATTTTTCCCCTCTTCTTCTCCACCCCCCGCTTTTCTAAAGGATTTTTGAGTGATTTTTTCTTTTTTTGGTTTTTTGGAGAGGAAATTCGTGGGTTTTTTCCCCATGCATCAACACTGGGAGCTTTAACTCTAAAACCACCACGGAACTAAGTTCGATTCGGGGAAATAAATAAAGCAAAACAAAAAAAAAAACCTAAAAAATTGGCATCGTATAGATTTTTTTCCTGTCCGGGGCAGATCTGGAGGCTGGAAAGGAGAGGGGCAAGGCCAAAGTTTGCTCCCCTGGGTTATTTACACGCAGATTTCGTTAATTGCAAGGTAAAAAAAAAAAAGCTCTACTCTAAAAAAAGCGTGCAGAACAAAATTTTGGGTTTGGTTTGGGCTTTTGTTTTTTTGTCGCTGTGTTTGCTGTGTCCCATCTGCTTTCCCAGGGAGAAATTGTGTCCTAAATCCCGTCGGGTCACGCCAGGCTGGGCTCGGTGCAGTTCCTCACCTCTCCGAATTTCGGGATGAGCGTTCCCGCGATTCCCGGCTCCGCCGACCGATAATTCCCCGAAAAAAAGAAAGAGGCTGGATCCGACCACACGCATGCGAAACAATCCAAGGGAATTGCTTTTGTACCTTTTTTCCTGCAAGCAGCAAAGCAAAAACGGGTCCTCGAAATCTTCTCTGCTCCTGGTATTGCTGCTTTGCTGCTTGGGCGGGTTTAATCAGTTTAAATTGCATTTTTGATTTTTGTGACTTTTAAAAATAATTTTTTATTTCTTTTTAGTACGGAAAGAGATGCTTTTCTGTAGGAATTCAACGAATCTTTAGGAAATCGCTGCTTTGGGAGAGAAAACCGTCAGTGATTGTGCAAAGGAAGGAAAGATGAGTGTCCCGAACCTGGCGCATCTGGATAGGCAGCTGCTCCGGAGAACGGACGTCAAGAGACATCAATATATTTAATTCTCTTTTCTTTCCCTGCTAGTCCCGTGTTCATAAGCGTATTTTTATATATACCTGTATCCATACATATTTTTAAATATACGCGTTTATATATTATATGTGAATTATTAAACATTATAGTTTATATGTTATATGTCTATTTTTTATATATTTCATAATTTACATATATACAAAAACAACACCATAGGGCGTTATAAATTAAAAACAATAAATTATTTCGGTAAGACAGTACATCTATTGTTTGCATGCAACACACGTTCCTGTGAATTATAACATATATTAAGTCCCGTTTATAATTAATTTTTGTATCGATCTGTATAAAATCACACACCTTTTATTAATTATGTATTTTCCTCCATGTGCTGAAATTACAAATTTGCACAGAGACACCGTTGCTGATGTTTATTCTTTATGTATCTCTGTGCCTGTAATTTTATTTCTATACGGGGCTATAAATATTTTCATCCCGGTGTTTGGGGTTATCTCCAACTGCGTTTTCCCATTTTTGGGGGTTTGGGGAGTCCCTGTGCCCCTTGGGTATTGCAGAATAACGTGAGGGCAGAGGATGAGGGGATCCCACATCTCCAGGGATTCATTCCCAACCCTGAAGCACTCTCCAAATGCTCTCGTCGTCCTTCAATAAATCGATTTCCCCATCTCCTCTTCCCCCATACCCCGTGTCTTTCATACGGAGATTTGAAATTTTAATTCAATATTTTTATTTCCAAGCACCAAAATCCACCGACATCTCCCCCCCGCTTCCCCCACAGACTTAGGGTAGGAACCCCAGATTTCCACTGGAAGCTCCAAAGTGTGGGAAATGTTAATGTTGTGAGAATTATTCCCGGAAAACGGGGCAATGGGACCCTCGGGATGTCTGGAGATACTCCAGAGTGAAATGAGCCCCTGGGGAGGGGAGGCTGTGGATGTGGGGCTGAACCCCAGGTGGGATTGAGACCCCAAACTGCAGAGGGGTGCAGCACCGCCGCTGTTCTTCATCATTAACCTTAAACCCATCAGAGCATGGAGGGACAGGAGAGGGATGTCCAGTTTGCGGGGAGCACCCCCAAAACTGACAGAGATGAGAGCAGCTGGCACCTCCTCACTCTATAATTTGGGATCGCGATTTGGGGCAGAAGCACGGAAAAATCTCCCTTGAGCAATATCGCCAATGAAAGGGGTTGACTCCAGCGGGATTGGGGTGTCTGTACCCCTCAGAAAATCCCCCATTTTTTCTGGCAATCAGGCACGGGCATCCCTGGGGACGCGAGGCTACCCAGTTGATGGGGCCGTGCCCACGGGGCTGGTTTGATTTTATTATTTAATTTTATTCCTTTTTTATTGTTTTTTTCCCCCCTCTCCTCCGCAGCCACGAAACCTGGCGCCCGGCTGATGGTGCAACAGATACCGGCCACCCCTTCACCCCCGCGCTCCCTCCCATCGCCGCCCACTTCCACGTGACGGGGGAAAACCAGTCAGCGAGTGGCACTGGGCAGCCTGGCCACACTGGGGAGCCTGCAGGGGGGCAGCGCTGCCCCCAGTCCCCCCCACAGAAACAGGAGCCGGGCATCTCTGAGCCCTCTGCCTGCCCCACAGCCAGGGGAGGGGGTCCCTGCCCCACGGCCTCGCCCCCTCCACCCCTGTGCCCCCCCAGCACTGAAGGTGGGTAGCGCTTCCCTGTCCCCTCCTCGCTCCTCTTCCTCGCTGTCACGCCGGGACCCCGGCGAGCTCCCCGAAAGTTTCCTCCTATTGTCTCCTCGCGCTTGAAAAGTGACGCGATTTTGCTAATTTTTTTTTAATTTTTTTTTTTTTTTATTATTATCACCACTACTGTTTGTAAACTCGCCCCTTGTTCCCCTCCTGTGAATCCTTGCTCCTCGTTAGGGAATCCTGTGGAAAAGCTCCATCCTAGGCTGGTTACACACCAACCATTCCCTGGGGGTCAGGGGGACACAAATCTCCCTTAAAGCCCCTTCTTCCCGGCTCGATTCCATCCTTACCCCTTCCCAGCGCTGCCTCCGGCTCCTCTCCCTTTCCTCGGCCGCCTGCCCGTCTCCCGCTGTCCTCCCAGGGTATCAGCCCTTATCTGCTGGTTATCTCTTCTGCTGCTAAATTCAGACCAGCGGAGGGGTTCAGCCGGGGGAATCTGTTGGTTAAACCTAAGGCAGTCCCAGGAGCCAACTCTCCGGCCATAATTCCGCCCCCTCTGCACCCCATCCAGCTCTTCTCCCGGTGTGAGGTAGCTTTCATGGAATCCCACAATTCCAGAATGGTTTGGGTTGGAAAATACCTAAAGGCTCATCCAGTTCCGACCCCCCTGCCCTGGGCAGGGACACTTTCCACCAGGTTGGGTTGTTCCAAGCCCCGTCCAAGAGGCTCCCTCCATGATTCGTAGAGAATTTCACATCTCAACTCATCTCACCCCCCTCCCCGGACCCTTCTTGGGGAAGGGGTTTCACCCTGACCCCTTTCCACAAGTGGGTTTTGGGGTCTTGCCATTGCAAGCCATGCACAAGGCCCCAATGGCATCCCAAGGCCCAAACCCACTCCAAATTCCCCCAAATTTCCCCAAAATTCGAAACCAACCCAGCATGAGGTAAAGCACCCCTTTCCCCCATCCTGTCCCACGACTTTGGGACATTCCTCCCCACCCAGACCCACAGCATTCCCAGTCCCCAATGGGTCACCCCGCTGTGCTTCCAGCTTCTCCCAGTTTCCCAACACGGGAAAAACGGGGGAGAGAGATAGAAAACACCTGGAAGAGGGAGTTGGGGTCTGCTCCCCGCTTTGGGGCTACAATGGGTAATGTCCCCCCTCTCCTTTAAGCGCCCTCGGTCACGTCTGGCCGGGCTTTAGGGGGTGCGGACACGCGTGGGGCAGCCGAGGGGTGGGAGGGTCGATCCATCCTTCCTCCTTTCCCTCTTTCCCCCCTACTTTTCTCTAATTTAACCCCCCACACCCCCCAGCCCTCCCGCCGCCCACATCAAACGCCGGCCCCGGTGGCCATTAACAACTTAAAGCACCGATCGTACCTGCGGGACAAAGGTTTTTGCTGCGGGCCAGAGGAGAGAGCATCGCTGTCTCTCACCTTCCCGCCTGTGTCCCCCTTCCTTTCACCTCCCCCCCTTCTCTAACCTCCTTATCTCCCCGCCCGGGGGGGTCCCGGCCCGGCCGCCGCCGCATCCCGCATCCCGCATCCCGGCAGCATCTCCCCCTGCTCCCCCGGGGGTGTTGGAAGGGGAGGGCGGGAGGGGAGGGAGGAGGAGACTGAGCGAGGGTTTTAAACAGCCCGGCCTGATGGTGGAGGGCGGGGGGGTGGGGGGGCGGGAGGTGATGGATGGAGCCCGCTGGGAGCAGCTAAATCCAGGCGGGAGCTAAATTTCCCCTCCGGAGGGACCCGGACTTCTTGCTCGGGGTCGGCAAGAGGCGGCGGGACCTGCTGAAGGTGGGGAAGGTGGGCGGTGGGGAAGAGAGAGGTGGGGAGGGGGGGTCGGAGGAGGAAAAAAATCGCATCGCTTGGTGGTGTTTTGGTTTTGGCTGGAAGGCTTGCGCGCCCACGCGGGACCGCTCCGGGGGAAAAAAAAGTGGAGCCGAGGGTTTTCCAGGCGCTCCCCATCGCTCTGGATCGCGGCTGGGCTTTGGGGAGGCCCCGCACGAGATGTACCAGAGCTTAGCCATGGCAGCCAACCCCGGGCCTCCGGCGTACGAGGGGGCAGGTGGCTTCATGCACAGCGCGGCCGCAGCGTCCCCCGTCTATGTGCCCACCACGAGGGTCACCTCCATGCTCCCCAGCCTGCCCTACCTGCAGAGCAGCGCCTCTTCCCAGCAAGGCAGCCCCGTCCACTCCAGCCACTCCATCTGGACTCAACCCGGAGCCGAAAGCGCCGCTTACAACCCTGGATCTTCTCACCCTCCCGTGTCACCTCGGTTCTCCTTCTCCACCAGCACCCCCATCCCGGCCACCTCTTCCCGGGAAGCGGCGGCGGCTTACAGCAGCTCCTTGAACCTTTCTGCTAACGGGAGGGAGCAGTACGGCAGGGGCTTCGGCAGCTCCTATTCCAGCCCCTACCCGGCCTACATGAGCCCCGACATGGCCACGACCTGGACTTCGTCGCCCTTTGACAGCCCCATGCTGCACAACCTGCAGAGCCGAGGGACGCCCGCGGCCGCCCGCCACGCCAACATCGGTGAGCACGGGGCTGGGAGATGGGAGGGGAGGTTTCACCCCGTTACCCCCCCAGATTTTGGGGCACGGACCCCTCTGTGCGTAGGTTTTGGTTTTTGGAGGGAGGAATTCGGAATATTTGGGGTTGTCGCTATCTGAGTGGCCTCTCTGTCTGGAAAACATCGGGGTCCTTATTCTTAATTATTCTGCAAAATCATTGTTCCAAAACATCCTCAAAGTTTCCAAAAAGTAAAGGAAATTTAGGGCAGGCCCGGAGCGGCAAGGAGTGATGGGGCGAGCTCTGGAGCGAGGGCCTGCTGGCTCCTCGAGTAGCTCAGAGGGGATTTAGGGGCTCTGATGGGGATAATTTGAATTATCCCCACGATGTTCCATGGACACGTAGGCAGCCCCTTCCTGCGCTGGCTTTAGGTGTTAAACTGGGAGCATTGAGAAAGCAAAGTTGGGTCCATGAATTCCAAATCTTCCCTTCGGGCTGTTTTAAGTTCTGGTCTTTTAAAAAATTCTTTTGGAAAGGTCGGGCTACAAAAAGGGAGAGCAGAGAGAAATTTAGAGCTGAGGTGGGAGAGATGATGGAGAAGGATTAAAAGAAATGCATCCACATTTATAATGGTGCTTTTCGGGGAACTCGGGCACATCTGAACAACGAAACCCTGGTATTTCTGAGTCTCTTTACCCCAAAAATCCTCACCCTGATCTCTCGTGCCCAGTCCAGTCTCGGATCCTTTCATTTCATTAAATTCCTCTGGTTCCTACAGCGAAGAATTGGTCCAAATGGCTTAAAATACTGCTTTTATATTTCGTGAGGTGGAAGAGGGGTAAAAGGAGAGAGAAATGCAGGCACATCTGTGCATGGTGGTTGCATAAACCCTTTTTTCCTTCCCGCCTCCTCTCCATGAAGGTATTCCTGTTGGCTTTGGGGTCGGGGTTAACAAAGAAAACACCTCAAATTTGTCTGCAGATCTATTTTACGATTGTGTTCTCTGACCTGAATTTTGGAGGGCGATTTTTCCATCGGGATTTGCGTTGTCTTTAGCATTATTTTAAGTTGTTAAAAGAAGGAAAGTTGGGCATCGGTGAAGGCTCGGCCTTGCCAACATCTTGTGCTTTTCTTTAGGTGCTAGAAAATTTCTCAACACGAGGAACAGAATAAGGATAAAATTTTAGCCAATCAGACGATTTTTTTTGGAAGCCGTGAGAAGGCAGATCGCAGAGAAAAAAATCAGGATTAATTAAAAAATCAAGTATTAATTGAATATCAGTAAGCACGTATGAATATTTGTATTTTACCATGGTGCCATCTCTTCCTTGGGGGGAGGAAAATAATCACCTTTTTTTGCGGTGATTTCAGAAGGGCTTTTAATAATAAAAATACCCTAAACCCAAAATAATGCAAATGAAGAATTGCAGTTGCAGAAACACCCATCAGCTTTTAAACGCAAGGGGATTTGGGGGTTTTGAGCGTGGTGGTTTTTGCTGCATTTTGGTGGCAAAAAAAAAAAAAAAGGTTTTTAAATAGCACTGGGAAGAACGGATGAGTTGAGCCAGTGCAGTAGATGGGTTTTAATGAAAAGGAAAAAGCCGAGACTCCACAGCCAGGTCCTGACTCGGGTGCCGGATTCTCGGCAGCGCGGCCGAATCCGCGGGATTCATTAGCACGGCGCTAATTACGCCTCTGCCTTGGATATGGAAAAGCGTTCGAATTTTAAAGCAAAAGTGCTTGGGTTTTGGTAAAAAATAAAACAAAATAAAATGAACTGCCTGAGAGCTGGTGAGTTTTAAAAGGATTTTTGGAAGGCAGCTCCTCCGGGAAGGAGTTTTAGGTCCAGCCCTGCCCCGTTCCCACTTCTCCCCCCCTGAGTCGGGACGCGGCCGCTGCCGGGTCCCTCCCTGAAGCCGAGCGATGCTTTGGGCATCGAGGGGGTTGAGTCAAGCATGTAGAGGCTGGCTGTGGGGTTCTGAGCTGGGAAATGGTTTTATTTTCATGATTTTAAGGGTAAAAAAACCCTGGAAAACTGAAGGCACTGAAAGATGTAGTGGAGGGGACATCGCTGTGGATTATTCCCATCACAGACACACGTTAATTCCACATCCGAGCCTGGTCAGCACCTGAGAAATCCCTGGAACGGTGGAGTTGACTCCTTCTTTGCCTTTTCTTAGGGCTAAAAGTAATTTTATTCTCTGCACAGCGAGGAATCTCAAGGTGGAAACGCAATCCTTTTAAATGTGTGAAATATAAATATTTTCAGCGCTCTGATTTTCTTTTTCACAGAAATAACCATCACCTTCGAGTAGCGCTAAATGCAGACCACCTCTGGGTGTCATTAAATTTTTAATTATTACGATTTTTTAAAAATAAAGATCAAGTATAGGCAGCTATAGCTGAATATGCAGACAGGAATTCCCTGTCTATATAATTAGGCATGACGTTTTCCTCCCTGTTTTATATAAATATATCTCTGTAACAATAAAGCAACACACAGGGAAAAGATTAGTGAAAACGTATTCGAAGAAAATAACACTAAAAGAAATACAAATCTTCTTGTTTTGCCCTAAATTGAGGAATTTTTGCCTGGGTTAAACCGTGGTATGAAGCACTGGGAAGGATGGGTAAAACGCACGGGCCCGTTTGGCAAACTTTCCCCGATGTGAGTTCAAAATGCCAAATTTGGGCTTTTCAGGGTAAGTCTGGTGACTGATTTCATTACCCTGAAGAGCAGGATCAGACCCTGTGGTCGCGGCAGTGAACTTGCCCCAGGCATTGCCTGGGATGGAGTTACTGCGAATTCCCGACTTAATGAGCCATGAAAAGGACCAGCCGCAGAATCCCCTCTCAAAAGACTTCCCCGCCAGCACCAAAAATCTCTTGAAATCGCTCCCAAAATTACCCTAGATGGGCATTTTGGCTCTTGCCCCTTCCCCGGGCGGAGGGGAGCGGGGATGGAGGGCGGCACGGGGCTCCGAGCGCATCCATCCCGCAGCTCCTCGCTGCCCCTGGATCTTTCGAGCCTGGGGAAGGACACTCCGATCCCAAATTTCATTTTGCTCACTGCGGGGATTTTACTTTCGCTGTGGCACCGCGGAGGAATTGCTGTGGTTGGGGGTAAATCGGGGTTGCGGGTATTCCTGGTGGGCGCTTTTTGGGTTTTTGGGTTGTTTTTTTTTTTGGCCAAATCGAAGTCAGGGCTCCTCAAACAGGCGCTGCTGGAACACAGCAGCAGCATCTGGGAAGATCAAAGCCTGGAGCAGACACTGGGTTGGAAAATGTCCTTTCTGCTGCTGGTGGGGGAGAGATTGGGAACCAGATCTTAAGCTTTCCCACAGGGACGCTAAGAGATCTGCCCTGTCGCATCCCGGCGCTGACATTTCCAGTGATTCATTGGCATTTGTTACAACCCTCTGCCCCTACAAGCAGCCCCTGACCTTCCCCACACACCCAGGGACAAGGTGCCTGGTCCCTGTGGGGTGGCAGGGGATGAGAGGGGAGTCCCAGCATCGTTCTGTCCCTGATCCTGGAGAGATGGGACCTTAGGATGCTAGGATGGGGCCATAGGACAGAGGGATGTGAGTGTAGGATGGCAGAAAAATATGTGGGACAGCGGGAAGGGGCTGTAGGACATCGGGATGGGGCTGTAAGACATCGGGAAGGGCTATTGTATATCGGGAAGGGGCTGTAGGATATCGGGAAGGGGCTGTAGGATATCGGGATGGGGCTGTAGGATATCGGGATGGGGCTGTAGGACATCGGGAAGGGGCTGTAGGACATCGGGAAGGGGCTGTAGGATATCGGGATGGGGCTGTAGGACATCGGGAAGGGGCTGTAGGACATCGGGAAGGGGCTGTAGGATATCGGGATGGGGCTGTAGGACATCGGGAAGGGGCTGTAGGACATCGGGAAGGACTGTAGGATACCGGGAAGGGGTTGTAGGACATCGGGATGGGGCTGGAGTATATCGGGATGGGGTTGTAGGACATCGGGATGGATCTGTAGGATATCGGGATGGGGATGTAGTATATCGGGAGGGGTTGTAGGACATCGGGGAGGGGCTGTTGGACTTGTCTGCCTTTTCCTGCATCCCCCGTTTCGCAAGCGGCCGCATTTCTCACCCCAGCCCCGCCGGCGGGGAAGGTTCGCCCAGGGCTTTGTTCCCCCCGTCCGGGTCTGAATCCACCTTCTGCTCTCCGTCCTAATTCAATTGTCACCCGTCAGTCTGGGATTTGGGATGAAACCCACAGAATGAGGGTTTCTAATCTCTGAGCAAGATCAAGCTTGAGCACACAAATGTTTATTCCCCTCTCCAAGCCCCCCCAAGCAGTAGAATTTAAATTTCAAATAAATCAGTGATAATAATAAAAATAACACCATCACGGGCACTCTGTCACCCCTATTAATAATTCAATTATTTACTTAAAATTGCACTATATTACCAAGTGCAGCTTATTTTGCACAGAACAGCCATGGGGTAGTATATAATATAAAAGCTCACAAATTTTTGTAGAGCAGTAAAACTTAAGGCAGTGGATGGTGGTGCTTAATCTAAGACTTTATTAAACCAGGATTAATTATTTTTCACCCATCCATATGCATTTCTTTATCCCTGTAACAATAACAGCAATATTTTTTTTTTTTTAAGAGACAACTTATATTTTTCTCTCTACATTTTTTTTGCCAGAAATTTTAAGGGAAAGAGGCGAAATTCTTGGAAACAGATGAGGGTATATTAGGCAGAGTATTCCAAAGGAAACCAGGCCCAATCCTGACACCTCTGTGCTCTTCTGATGATGGGAAACCCTTGGCTTGGCCGGCAGAAAGGGGCTCCCCAAAACTGGTTCTGCCAAATACAGAGGGGTATTTTGAAAGGGCAAACCATTTCTCTCTGAAAATTTAAGGATGTGTGGAAAAAACCACTGACAAAGCACCAAATATCAAATAGAATTCCAAACTGGGTGAAAAAGTGGCTTTTTATGTGCCTGAAGGTTGGCAGCCTGTTGTTTCTGAGGGAC